GTGTGATACTACCGATAATGGATAATATATAGAATATGCCCATTTTTCCTTCAGATTATCCATGCATATCAATTCCAATCACTGGTTCCTTCTTGTCACTGTGCATCTCCACCAATCGGATGATGGTGACACAACCAGGTCGGTTTGGTCACGCTTTCAGCACCGTTAGTAAGCAGAGCCATGTCAGTATGGGTATGGGTTCGGTACGTAAGTGCTTACTGCATTGCGCTTCACTCACATGGTAGCTTTCTCTGTCACCGTGATATCTCACCTTTCTCGCAGTAACTTGCAAACTTTTCAGTGCCGTAAATTTAGCATTTCACATAACGGGTCAAAAACGCAGTGCTCCCAGTGCGTACAGTAATTTTGTACATACAGGGACATAACTTAGATGGATAAGAAATCACAAGACCATTTAACATGCAACGTGTACAGTACAGTAGTGTTTGTTTAGAAATTGATAATAAATAGACATTTTATGTTATCGTTCAGGCTAGCAGACTGTTATGGGTTGAGGTTTGGGGGGTTTAAGTCAATGTACTGCAGATGTTTTGCTATGTAAAAGCACATTGACCTCACCCCCTGGCACCCAGTGGGACAGCCTCCAAGCCCTGTCGTTACCCTGTATAAGTGGATAAGCACTCAGGGAGCATGAATGTTATTGATATATTACAATAGTAGCACTGGTTCTCAGGATAAAATGCTCTCACACTTACTGAATTGCTGCTGAAATCCTACAAAAAATGTGATTATACGATAAAGGAGTTTGCCTGATGAACACGCACCCACAGGCAGGGGGAGATTCTCTGTCAGGCTTGGGTAAGCGTAAATACTGCCCACTCACGGATAATTACGTTCCCCAGAGTCTCACACTTTATTTTTACCTTTCTTTTTTCTTCTCACGTCGTTTTTTTAATTTATAGCAGGATTTGTCAGGTAGAGAACATGAGTAGAGGACCCCCCCCACTTCACCCCCAGCTGTAAAAAAAGAAGGGGGGGGGGGGGCTGGGAGCCTCTTTCCTCCCAATGGGGAGTGAAAGCCGCGGGCAGCAGCGATGAGCACAAGATTAATGCCGCTCAGGAAAATCGCCGAGCCACAAAAAAAAGCAAAAAAAAAACCAGACGGGATGAAACGGAAGAGTGTCCCGTGTGGCCTCGCGCTCCCTTTGTCAGCAAGCCCGGCGGGTCATGAGTTCGTGGACCCAGGGGAGCGCTGGTTCTGCCCAGGAGATAAGGCCCTCAAATCTTGCTGCGTCGTTAGAGCCTAACCACCCAGTGCGTTAGGCTGGAACGCCGTCTCTGGCTACGAGCTCGGCTTCGCACATGCTAAACTGAAGGGAAATTTCCGGAACGCCGACCTGGGCCTCTCTCAGTCCTCTCCCAGTCCTCCTGGATAATTGGTCCCCGTTTCTGCACCAGTGGCAGAATAATCCCCCCATCCTCACCCCTGACTTCCACAGGACAGCGTCACGGTGCTTCGGAGTGCAAAATCCGCCCGGGCCTCCATTGTCGTCGTCCCCCCGCCCCACCCCCGCCATTAATCTGTTCAAATTTATGGATCACAGTAATTGTAGCGGTCATTCTACACAAGAACAGAGGTCTTGCTGTTCGGAGTCTGGGGGGGGGGGGGTCAAATAAATGTTCAGCCCCCTCCCCTTGTTACAAGTCGGCAACAATTCCCCAGCAAGCCTCGTCCAATTATGTCTTCCTGGCCTCCGTTTATAAACGTCGAGGGCCACATTTGCATATGAATGCTGTCAGCAAGGCCCGTATCTCGCGTGTCTCCGGCAAAAATTGATGGATTCAGCAAGCTGGTTAAGTGTGGTTATATTTACTCGCCGGCTTCACCGAACAAAGGGATATGTAAATGTTTAATTCCCTCAGGCGAACGACTCCAGGTTACAGTGGCTCGCCGAGTGCCGGCAATTTCAGCCGGGTACCGAGCAGTGCCATTTCAAATGTCACATCTGAGTCTTCCTCATCTCCTTTCTCTCGTTCTGTCGTTCTGCAGGGACCTCCTGAGGATCGGCGTCACCCTGGCAGGCCACCAGAAGAAGATCCTGAGCAGCGTCCAGTCCATCCAATCTCAGATGGCCCAGTCACCAACTTCCATAGCATGACTGCAGGGGGCGCCGTAGGCGACTTTCTGCCCAACGGAGCACGCTTGGTTGGAGACGGTCACCATGATCTGATGTCACGCAATGCGGCCCTGGCACTGCACGGTCACTTTCTCCGGCTTCCATTGGACTATCGCCATTGGATAGTGCATTTGGAATGATGAGGGTTACTACAGCAAATCAAAAAAAAGCAAAACAAAAAAAAAAAAACAAATCCCCTTCCTCTTGGAAAATCAGCTGTGGTATAGTACATGGGGATTGTTTTTTTTTTGTGTCTCATTCACCTGAGGAGCCCAGAACTGAAACAGGAAACAGAAAAAAAAACCACTTCCTGCCACCATGTCACGACTCCCACTATCTGTCTGACCATCATTCCGGAGACCTCTTTCTCACACCATTTTTTTCTACTGAAACGTCTGAGATACTTGAGAAAGCCTAGGTGGGAGGGGGTGGGGGGGTGGGAAGGTGATTTTAAACTCACTCACAGAGGAAACATGACAGGAAAAACAGATATACATAAATCGATGTAATATAATTCCGATAAATCTTCATATTGAAGGTGATGTGTAATTAAATTATGTATATATACTTTCTCCGCTTGCATTTTTGGCAACTTCCAGTAAGCGAATGGGACTGTAGCGTGCCGGAGACACGCTGGCGTCATTCTCCATGTTTCCGACTCGCCGTTGAGGGCAAGGACCTCGGAGCAAGATGGCAGACGGAGACCGGACTTGTTCTGTACAGATGACCCACTGTATATTTTACGAAAGAATAATGACTGTACAGCTTTTTTGGAAGACCAGCCAGCTCTCCAGGTTGGCATGAGTGTGATCGTCATCACATAGCGTATTAGTGGCCGCTGGGCTCAGAACTAAATCCTTCTTTTCTACCATTTAATTGAATTTCTTTTCCAATTTGTGTTGGAGCCCTTGGGAACGTAATTTTCCAACGGTCCACCCCAGCACTGTGGATCAGTCTCTCAGGTACGTAAACGGGCACAGGTGGTGTGAAGGTTAATGCTTGTTTTCTTGAAAGCCCTTCTGTTGTATCCAGGGCTGGATGCCCCTCTTCAGGGGCCTCAGGCAGGATTTGCTGACCAGGGACTCCGTCTGGGGCCCTTTGTAATAATCAGACCCTAGGCAGCTAGACTAGACCCTGGTTATACCTCAAAAATGCTTTGGAACTCAATAAAAATTGTCCCAGAGATATACCCAGTTGAGTAGGATAACTGGTGCGAAAGCAAAAATCTCTGGAAAAGACAGAAAGTGAAATCAAACATTAAACAAGTTTGTCAAAGGATTGGCCAAGTTTAATCATCTTTGGGGGTAAAGTCTGGAAGGGATGACACACATACTTTTCTGCCATTGTCCCAAACTCCATCTCTTTGTCAGAGAGCCTCTTAAAAGTCAAAAAGCAGGTGAGATTTCATGATCTCTGTGTAACAAACATGGCGTCAGTTATGTAATCTCTCCCTCTTAGTGCCTCGCTAATACGCTATCCTTTTAGCATCCCTGCTAAGACTCTGCCCCACTCATGTTTCCGCTTGTTTGTTTGGGGGATGGCGTGATAGATGAGACTTGTGTTTGGTGCTCAGGAACGTAATGAGGCCCTAATCGGTGGTACGCACCCAGCTCCACTTTTCTTTCTTTAAAAAAGAAAATGCCTGTCGCAAAAGGCCTGCAGCTGTTTAGTGGGGGTCGCGCCCTCTGAGGGAATATGACAGGCTTTTCCCGGCCACACCAACCATGGGTGACCCCCCCCCCCCCCCCCCCCTCCCCCCCCCCCCCCCCCCATTTGTCCGACTGCACTCCACACCCACCTCCTCCCTCCCACCCACTGCAGGTGATTAACGCCATCGAGCAGGACTACCGGCTGCCCCCCCCCATGGACTGCCCCTCCTCCCTGCACCAGCTCATGCTCGACTGCTGGCAGAAGGACCGCAACGCCCGGCCCAAGTTCACGGACATCGTCAACACGCTAGACAAGATGATCCGCAACCCAGCCAGCCTGAAGGCCGTGGCCAGCATCACCGCAGTGTGAGCACCGGTCACACGTCCGCACACGTGCGCACACACCAGGACGCACACGCGCATAGATGCCATCACAGTGTGACACTGCTCTTCAGAGATAGCTTCAGACACAAATGATACAAATGACGTTCCCCTTCTTTGATGTTCTCCTCCGTTTAAATCTTTCCCCCCGTCCTACCCTGACTCCCCCCCCCACACACACACACACCTCTCCCCCTCCCAGGCCTTCCCAGCCCCTGCTGGATCGCTCTGTGCCTGACTTCACCACCATCAGCTCGGTGGAGGACTGGCTGCTGGCCATCAAGATGAGCCAGTACCGGGACAACTTCCTGAGCTCTGGCTTCACCTCCCTGCCTCTGGTGGCCCAGATGACCTCCGAGTGAGTACCTCCCCCTCCCAGCTCTCCATTGCCCCCCAGGGATGGCAGAAGGCCCACCTTAATACCACTGAGGGTCTGTGTAAGACGGCCCTGTAATGGGCGCAGCTGAGCAATAAACAGGAAGAGTTATTAGAGTAAAATGGCTGCATGGTGTTATGATGATGGGTGTATTGCGGGCAGAAATTTCCGGATGGTTCCTGTCTGGCAGACTGGGTAATGAGGATAGAGGGGGCTCCCTGCCGTAGCAGAGACATTGCGTTACATCCCCACTGGTTTCCCACCGTGTCCCCACAAGGCCAATGGGAGAAGGCTGCCGTGTTAACTCCAGAGTGCCATCAGACCAGACACCTTACTGGGGTCACTCCAAACATGTCATTGCCCCCCATATTGACAGGAAAGGTTCTGTTCTTTATAGCACGCCTTTAAAACTGTGTCGCAGTCATAATGCACTCAACACACCCATTGACCCTTGACCTTTGATCCTTATAACTCCATGATGCCAGCTCTTATTCCAATGAATCCAGTTGATTTTGGGGTAACCTTCCATACATTATGGCTATCCCATATCTATACAGATGGATTGACTTGAGTTGTCTGTAGCTTAGCAAGTAGAGCATTGTGCTAACAATGCATGGGTTGTGGGTTTAAACCCCAGCACATGAAGAGACGTAAGTTGTAGTGAGGTTTCAGCTCACTTCAGTGTTCCACTGTAGAAGCGTTGGCTCGATAAAGGCATTAAGGGGTTTGGAGAGTGACAGTGACGTAAAACCAAAGAGACCCTTGTCAACCTTTCACACGGTTTACATCATGATTGACTGTGTGCTAATTTCTTCTAGCGCGTCTGTGAGAATTGCTGTGTTATGTCACCATCAAACAATAGCAGAATTAGCATTCGCTTGTGTAATTTGCATTACGAATCCATTCCGTTCAGCCATTCTATAGTACTTTTTTAAGTTGGATGTTGGAAACTGTCAAATACCAAGTTTTCGGGAATGGATCAATACATCGCAA